GCAATGTAACCAATTTTTGTATATTAATTTTGTATACTGCAATGTTACTGAATTCATTTGAGAGTTCTGATAGTTTTCTGGTGGAGTCTTTAGGGTTTTCTACATATGGTATCATGTCATTTGCAAATAGTGACAGTGTTACTTCTTCCTTTCCCATTCGAATGACTTTTATTTCTTTTTTTTTCTTGTCTGATTGCTGTGATGAAGACTTCTAATACTATGTTGAATAAAAGTGGTGAGAGTAGACATTCTTGTCATGTTCCTGATCTTAGAGGAAAATCTTTCATAATGTTCATGGTGGGTTTGTCATATATGGCCTTGATAATGTTGAAGTTATGTCCCCTCTATACCCACTTTGATGAAAGTTTTTATCATAAATGGGTGTTGAATTTTGTCAAAGTATTACTTCTAAATTGAATTCAAATAAACAATGAATGGAGTAAAAATTGTGCTAAATAGCAATTGTTATTATGAATATTTTTATTAATATTACATATATTATAATGCAATGAGTTATTCAGAATATGTAATTCAATTTTCACTCTAATCATATAAAGAGTGAAAACACATTGCTACATTTTATGCTAAGAAAGTTTTATATAAATGACAAGTTTTATAAAAGTAAAATTGCTAGTGACACATATTGGACATAATAGAAGCTATATTGGAAAATGAATTATATTTTGGGGTAAACTATTTACACAGAAAGCAACACGATTCATATTTGGTGGTCATTTGAATTCAAATTATCTACTTTTTAGTTTAATTATATGTAAAAACATATTTGCTGTCCTAAAAAAAGAAAACACCTGTTTTTCCACTGTATTTCTCCTGTATTACTCACACAAAACACTTCACTTCTGGTTATCGAATGTGTGGAGGTTTTTCCCCACATTAAGCAATCTTCTGTGACTCCAGCTTGCTGTCCTACAATTTAACTTAATTCTAACACTATCTACTTGGAGACTGTGTCAGATCCTAAAAGTCAAAGGCTCAGTTCTACAAGATTGTTCCCACCTTACTTCAGATGACAGTCACAAGTAGTAGATACTCAGGTTATCCAAACTTCCGTTTGATCCGGTTACAAATCGAAGGTTCCCACAACCTCCTCCTCAGCTTCGTCTAGTTTGCTAGAACAGTTCACAGAATTCAGGGAAACACTTACTTATAGATAACCAGTTTATTAAAGAATACAATAAAGGATACGGATAAACAGCCAGAGAAAGAGACACTTAAGGCGAGGTCTGGTGGGGGGTGTCCCAAGCTCAGAAGCTTCTGTCCCTGTTGAAGTATAGTACTCTTCTGGTATACGGATATGTTCAGCAACCTGGAAACTCTCCAAACACCACAATTTTGGGATTTTCTGGAAGCTTTCTCATGAAAGTATGATAAATTATTAACTCTATTTCCAGCCCCTCTCTCCTCTCTGGAGAATGGGAGTTGAGGCTTAAAATTCTAAGCTTCTAGTCACAGCTTGGTCTTTCTGGTGACAAGTTCTCATCCAGGAGCCCATCCAGAGTCATGTCATTAAAACAAAAAATACACCTAGTGCTCTTGTCGCTTAGGAATTTACAAGGGTCTTAGGAGTCCTGTGACAAGGGGAGGGTCGAAGACAAATATTAGAGTAAGAGATGCTTCTAATAGTCTTATCACTTAGGAAATTACAAGGTTTCAGGAGCTCCATGCCAGGAACTGGGGTCAGAGACCAATAGATATATTTCTATTATCTCACTCCTATTCTAATAAATGCATTGTATAATGTTCCATATGCAATCTAAAATGCAGGAATTACAATTATGAATGAAGATCTTTCCCCAGAATTTTAGTTTATAGTGTATCTAGCTATAAAAGTTTATGTGGTAGCATATACTAGCCAAAAAGGACCAAGTGTTAATGTACTGATTTTGGGGCATTTGCAAATGCCTTATTGGAATTTAAGTCAACTTGGAGAAAACCTTTGGGTCTTTATGTGTACTTTGCTTCTCAGGAAGTGTCTCCCTGTGTCTGCCTTCCTAATAAGAATGGTGGGTCTGTATCACACAGTCCACTGAGTAACACTTGAGATGATGGCTCTCATCAGACTGTTCTTGTGGCAGGAGAGCTTATTTTTATTGTTATTATTGTTAGTGCATAAAGATAAGGAGGATATTTTGATTAAAAAACAAACAAACACACTTAGCACTTTGACTTTCAAATCAATCCAGTGAAAATTCTCAGTTTGTAAATTGGTGATTAGTTCAAGCATCTTTTTGCATTATTTTTAATTGCTCATATTACTGCTATAATGTATTTAGTTGAAAATACATTTCAAATTAGCTTAATTTTGTAAAACTGAAGATGTGAATACCCTATGATTCAGTAACCCAAATTCTAACTATTTACCCCAGAGAAACATTTCTTCATGTATATAAGGAGACATGTATACATGTGTATTGCAATACTGTTTGCAAATAGTGTTGCAAAACATTGAAAGCAATCACAATGTTGTTAGTACAGGAATATGCAAACCAGTTGTGGTCTCTCTGCATCATGGAGTACTATAGAACTGTTAGAGACAAATACCTAGAGCTTGATGTGTCAACAGGAATGATATAGAAAAGATGTAGTAGAGGAGGAAAAGAGAACTTTGAAAAACTGTATATAAAGTTTGATACTATTTTCATAAATTTAAAATTACTATGTATTTTATATTTACCTATTTTGTTTATTTTCATATTTATATGCATGTATATTTTATCTTATATTTATTCATGTATATGAATATATGAATATATATATCTGAAGAGAGGCATCCAATGCATAGTGGTTACATCTGGGGAGAGGAGACTAAGCTAAAGGTTGTTATTATTTTCACCTTTATACTTTTCTGAAATTTAAAAATTTTTTAAAGCCTCAAAGGAGGTTTATATTTGATTTCTTCTTGTATTGGAATCTCAATTTGGGAGAATTATTGGGATTTATGGTTTAATGAGAGAGAAAAAATTCTTTTTATAATTTAAAGCTTCTGTATTTAGGGGAAACCAATGTTTCTAGGGTATTTGGGTTGTTAACCGAAAAATAAAAGGCCAAAATGAAAGGAAACAAGCAATTATTTTAGACAAAAAAATTGCAATTCTGGGAAGCATTGACTCAGGCAGAAACCCAAATAGTGTTCTGATTAGGAGGTGAAGGCAAAGGATATTTATGAGAAGGGAAAGGGGAATAATTACATAAATAGGTGAAGGAATTTCTATTAGCGTTAATAAGCCAATGAAGAAATTGTTATAGGTGCGAATAAGCTAAATTATTCTTTAGCTATACTTAGTGATGCTAATTATAATTTTCCTTTAGGTAGTCAAAATGTCTGCTTCCCTGTTATCTTTGCAAACAGTACTTTTGGACACAATATTGCTTTGGCCCGGTACAAAAGTTATTGTGCCCAGTCCAAACATTCCAAGGTTTGAGAAGTAAGATCTGCTTAGCAGTTCCTCTGGGATGGTGGCTCTGACTCAATTTGGAAATGGCCTCATTAGTATTCTTTTGAAAGAGTCTATATAACTTTATGTCTTGTATGTTTATAAGGTGCATCTCATGTAACTAATAAAATTTCATTTAAAATTATAATCTAAACACATCAAATAACAATGCACGATATTAAATTAAGCAATGCATTCCATCTTACAAAAAAGTAGAATTACAATGAGTTATTTTATTTTTGAAAATAACAGTTTTTATGAAATTGTACATATTTTCCCAAAGTCAATTCAAGAGAAATATAAAATAATATATAGGAATATAGGATTTTAAGGTAATATTATAAAAATTTATGAGTCAAATAGTTTTTAATTTGAGAAATTGAAGAGAAGTAGAGATAGTTTTGTTTTGAGTTATTTGTTTTGTTTTGCTTTTTTCCCCCCTGACACCCTAATGCCCTATAGAATTTTTCCGATATGATTCTCCAGGAGTTTCACATTTCCAAACAAATTATTTCACTTCTCTTATATGCTCCCTGCATTAGTGATAGAAACTCAGCTCACATAGTTTATCAAAATGACAATTTATTGCCCAAGGTATCTGAAATGTCAAGGAGTAAATTTGGCATAGCTGGATCCAGGGTTTTATTTCTTTCTCCACATTTTGACCTTATTTGTCTCGGCTTGGCTTTATTCTCAGGCTGATTCTTTTTAGTCTGGGCAAGATGGACACTAGTATTTCTAGATGTTAATTTTTCCATAAGTTCTGAATCTCAAATAAAAAGCATAACTATTTTATTTAGCAGCCATATCAAAACTCATGAAGGACCCCAACTGGCTTTGCTTGAGTTATATGTTCCCCATGAAAGAAACAGTGTGTCTTGGGAGATGGTGCCTTCAGTTAGCTGTCCTTAGTCACCCTTTTGGGGGATAACGAGGCACATGATCGATGTCTTCACCAAAGTCACATGAATAGATCAGGTTGTTCTCCTACTGATAGAGGGTTCTAGGCAGAATAATACTTATGTTGGCTATCTGTGCATAGCATTTTATCTGTTCCTCTGTTATACCACTGATGCTTTATATCCTAGTACTATAATAATTTGCTTGTCACTTACAACTGAACTATGCCTGCTCAGTAGCAGGGGTCATACCTATCCTCATATCCCTATTACTTACCATGATATGTGGCATGAAGTTGTCACTTAATAATTTATATGCTGAATAAAGTAATATATTAATCGATGAAAGAGTATGTTGGTTGTGGAGAAACATCCCTAATTATTATGTTGACTTGCTTTTATTTTTCCTTAAAAGGTTATTATATTCTTGGACTATAAAGAAAAATTAACTGATTAATAACTTTGTCTACACTTAAGCAACAGTATTATATTGAGTTGATAACTGACACCTGATATATCAATATTATTTTCCAAACTAAATGTACTCAAGTAACATACTGCCATATATAGAATTTGTTTTAATATTATACCAGTGTGGTACTGGAATCAACATATTATAATCTTTCTTCCTTTTTTATGTTCTCAGAGACTTGAGGTTTAACAGAATAAGAGAAATTCCTGGGAGTATCCGCAAGAAACTCAAGAATTTGAACACTCTGTGAGTACTTATTGCTTGCTTATCTGTGTGATTTCAAAATTTATGAGCTAATCATATTGCAGTTTAAAAGAAGTCACTTTGAGGGTAAAGAACAGCTAGTTCTGGAATGAAACCTTGCTTGAGGTCTCACAACCAGGAAAATTTCTATTTCTTTCCACTGCCTATATTTTTGCTGTCTGCTGAATTTGAGAGATTTTCTTACTTATCTGATGCCATTTACATTATATTTGTTTAGAAAAGCTTCTTGAGATGAAGAAACAGAGAAGAAGTAGTTAAATAACTTGTCTATGGGTCCCATAGCTAGGATAATAGAAATGGAATTAAAACTCATGACTCCAAAGCTCATGTTTTCTGCAGTATGCTGTTGGATTTCCTTATTAGTGACAGTATGAAAACCCTAAAATCATGTATTTAGAGAAAAATTGCAACTTTATGGCTAACCTCTGATAAGAATTTTAATATTTAAAACTCTATTTTTATTCACTCTATAGATATTTATTATTTGTTGTGTTCTTATCAGTTTGCTGGCTTTGGATCCAGACCAAAATTCTCATGATCCTGCTATGATATAGCTGAGTCTGACCTTGTGGGATGATCAGTAAAAATAACCCAACAGTAAAACATATGTAATAAAAATGCAGTAACTGTTAAAATGAAAAAGAGTAGAATCTATGAGAGGATGACAGGAGCCTCAGAAGTATTAACAGTGCTTAATATTTAAAATAATTTTATACTGCATTTATATTAATACACAGAGTGAAAGTACTGAAAGTTAAGAATATTCATCATTGTTAGAACCATGTGGGTACATTCATCTTCTTGTCAAAATGTTTTCATAACTGGGTTAGTAATAGTATCAATTTAGCTGAACTTCTCACCATGTTATAGCCAAGCTAGTCCTTCTAACTTTAGAGTTGAGATCATGACTTTACACCTGTATTTTTCCCATCTGGTTTCTTTACAATTACTAATGCCTGAATGCACATTATCTCTGGTTGGGATGATGTAAGAGCATAAGAAAGTAAGGACCACAGGTTTATTCCTTGCTTAACAATAAAGCAATGGTTCTCAAACTGTAATGTTTAAAAAAGTTTCCTGTAGAGCTTGTGGACATGAAAAAGTCTAGCCTCTTCCCAGAGATTCTGATTTTAACACTTATCAGGGGGCTCGCAAAATTTGCTTTTTAATGAGTGTTCCTGGGGATCTGATACTTGGGAAACACCATCATAGAAGCTTCCACTACTGCCTACTGAGATTTATAGGTGATAACTAACCAAATATCTTATTAATTTATCAAATTGTTAATATTTCCAAATGTTATCAAATCTCTTCATTAGAGGAGTATAACAAAATGATAATCTCTGTTGAAGTTTGTCCATGTTTTGGAGTATAGTACACAATACTTTAATTATTAATGAATAACCTACCTCTTCATTTGATAGAAAACATACTTATTATTAGTTTCTAAATATCTTTATTACAAAATCATATAAAATTATAATCATTTATAGTGTTAATTATAGGGCTCATTATATACTAGTGACTACATATTCTAGCTTCATTCTTTGCTACCACACTGTATGATAAATGTTATTATTTTCATTTTACAGATGATGAAACTGAAGCTCATAAATGTAATGTAGTTTACTCACATTTATATAACTAGAAAGGGTCAGAGTCAGGATTCACACACAGTTTGATTTGTTAACCATTGTGCTGTATGGTTTCTCATGATAGCTATCAGGAAGGCTAGTTCATCATAACAGATGATGAATGTCAGCACCGAGATGATTGAGAAGGAAAGTTTTTGGTGGTGAGACTCCCAGTTGGAAGAATGCACAAGGGGTCAATATGAAAATAAAATGGCAGGCACCCACTTTATTGTGGGGAGCATGCTTCTATTGCAGGGAGTGTAGTTCTATTGTGGGGAGTGCGCTTCTGCTCCGGCTCTTCATGGGCTCCACACATATCAGAATACAATAGTGGCATTCAGCCACACATACATGATACAATAAGCTGAATTATGTTTACATATTTTCAGTGCAGGCACCCTACTACACTAATGTAACATTCTAAATCTGGGGTCCTATTCCTAGCCGTGAGCTTGGATCACAGCCAGATCTGAGACCAGCCAGGCCTGGGACCCACAATGGATCACTTAAATGGCAACTTGTGTAAGAGAGAAGGAAATGAGGTAGGAAACGGGATGATGAAAGACTCCTGGGATTGGAGAGAACTTGTGTAAGTGAGGTGAAGACCCAAGGACTTACTAGGTTCAGAGGACCCATCAAATTTACACTTATGCTGAAAGTATGTTCATGAAAGAAAGTGAAAAGTAAAACTTTTAGTTCATTATTAAGTTCCCAGTTATGTTTTTTTTTTTTTAAAAAAAACTACCAAACTACCAAATTTTGTAAGAAGATCTCAATATTTAAAGAATTCCTCAATTTTGATATAATTACAGGGTCTGTGTTACTGTGTTTTATACAATGTGATGAGAACTCTTTACTACGTTTCATTTTATGAAAGCTCTTTATCATGTTGATGAATCACCCAGTCATTATTTCATTTATTTTCATTCAAAGATCTGACAAAGTGCTATCTTTAATTTTAAGACTTTAAAAGACTGATGTTTATTGGTTTGCCAAAGTTGTTATTCTGTAAGTAGCTATACTTTAGCTAAGGTATCTGATTTGTTTTTAAAGTTATTGATGTAGCAAAGGAGCAAAATTTCCAGCAGTAAATAAATATTAGCTCAATTTTACAATTAAAGATATGTGGGAAAATTTAAACCAAGGCATTAATTTCTAGGGTAGTGGAAATGTGAAGATTATTGTTAATAGTTAATAGTGATCTTATTGCTAACAATTGGATTTCTACCAACTATTAGCAATAAGATCACTTTGTGACTTCTTTAATTTGTACCTTCTTTACTTTGTAACTTACTTTTAGGACGAAAAGATAGCTACAAGGGGATTTATGCTGACCTAGCTGGTAGCATATAAACCATCTGTGTGAAAAAAAAAATTACAAAGATCTTGATGAAATACAAAAAAACTACTCTATAAAAGTATCAGCTGGCAATCAAGCAGCCAGGAATTAAAAAGCTAAAATCTAGGATTCTGGGAAAACATGGTAGAGTGAGAGATGTCCTCAGATCTCTCCCCCTGAAACAACAATAAGCTGAACATCTAAAACTGAACGAAAAATACCCAAACTGCACACCAGCACATCTGAGCATGGGATCTGTCAATAAAAGCTACCACAGGTCAGAAACTCGGGTGTCAGGTGGTGGACTGGGGCAAATAAAGAAGCTGCCTCTCACAGCTGCCAGAGCTATATACAGGAGGAGGGAGAGGGGTGAAGATGTAGCGACTTTCCTGATCGGGGGAAGTGCCGGGACTTTTCTATGCAGCCAGCAGCAGGGCTCAGTCATCAAGGCAGAAAGCAGAAAAGTGAGACGAGACAGCAGAAAAACAACAGTTGATTTTTACCAGCCCAGTTGCAAAACGGAGGCTGAGCTGCAGCCCCTAACCCTAACCCAGAGGCCCCTCCCCCATACCCTCCGAGACCATCACCATGAAGTCCCAGGGGAATCAGAGCAAAAACTGGGGAGACTGAAGCTACTTCTCTCAGACTCTGGAGCTCCTTGAAGGAGGAGGGGAAAAGGAGAAGGTGCAGCAACTTCCCTGAACTGATCTGCCTGAAAGTGCCGGGACTTATCTACGCAGCTGGCAGCAGGGCTCAGTCATCAGGGCAGAAAGCAGAGAAGCGGGACGAGACAGCAGAAAAACAGCTGATTTCTACCTGCCCCAGTTGCAAAACAGAGGCTGAGATGCAGCCGCCAATCCCCGACTCAGAGGGCTCCTCCCCCCATACCCTCCGAGACCGATCACCATGGAGCCCCAAGGAAATCAGAGCAAACATTACCAAAACTGTTGCTAACATTGACAGGGACTGAAACTGAGAATAGCGAGTATGATTAAAATCTACAAGAAAATAAAAGACGTTAGGCTTTATACAAAGCAAGGAACCAAGAAGCTTTGACTTCACCTACTTGAAACCAAAAGAAAAGCACCTTCTTTACAGCAGGCTAAAGAGAGACCTTTATATAATAAATCTTCTTTCTGGAAAAACAACAGAATATACTTCCATTAATGCCCAGGCAGAGACGTAGACCATTGCACATTATGAACAACCAAGGTGGCAAGGCACCTCAGAAAGAAAGAGAAAAATCTCTAGAAAATGAGCTTACAGACATAGAAATATGCAACTTAAGTGACAGAGAGTTCAGAATGATACTTCTGAAGAAACTCAGTGAGTTCCGAAATGAGTCATAGCAACACTTTCAGAAATTGAAAAAAACATCTAGATGAGCAGAGCAAGGAGATTGAAACACTCAAAAAGAACCAAATAGAACTACTAGAGATAAAAAATACACTGCAAGAGTTGAAAATTGAAATAGCAATCTCGGAAAACAGAGTTGACCAAATGAAGGAAAAGATCAGTGATATCGAAGACAGAAATCTAGAAATAAATCAAAAGGAAGAAAAGAAAAACTGAAGGATGAAAAATAATGAAAGAGAAATATAAGAACTAGCTGATACCACGAGGAGAGGAAACATAAGAATAATGGGCATTACCTGAGGCGAGGAAAAGGAGCAGGGACTAGAAAGCATTTTCAGACAAATAGTTGATAAGAATTTCCCAAATCTAAGAAATGAGCTACAACTTGGAATTCAAGAAGTCAACAGACCACTTAAGTATCTCAACCCAAAAATGCCTTCACCAAGACACATTGTATTAAAATTATCAAAAATCAATGACAAAGACAGAATTCTCAGGGAAGCCAGGCAGAAAAAAATGGTAATGTATAAAGGGAAACCCATTAGATTATCATCGGACTTCTCAGAGCAGACCTTACAAGCCAGAAAGGAATGGAATCAAATATTTAAACTATTAAGTGAAAGGAATTGCCAGCCTAGAATAATGTATCCAGC